ATAATGCTGATCCTAATGAGGAAGAGACCGTCATCTATTATCATCGCATTCCAGAGGAAGAAGCTCGATGAATGTTCAGTTCAACATGATTCCAAGCTTTCTGGTACCTTTTACTTTGTGAGTCACTGATCTCATATGTACCTTTGCAGTTGCTTGAGGCCAGTTCTTGTATAAAAAGCTCATCTATTTCTGGTAAAAATATGTGCAATAAATCAATAGTGATTCATTCTGGTAGAAATGTTAAAGTCCCACATAAATAAGATTTCTTGGTAGAGTTACTGGTTAGATTGTACATAGCAAATGCCACAAATTATTTGCCCCTCTGAATGAGTGTCGCTTTTTCTAAAAAAGCTTATATCATCTTTGTAATGTTGGGGTCCATTTCTCTTAGTGGTTGGCATTCAACTTTGTTGCACCCTTTCTCTTACTTTCTAAGATGAAAGTCAATTCGTGGAATGATGAAGAACTCTGTATATCTGGATTTAAGATGAATGGTTTACATTTTCCTTAATATAGATTATCTTTATAGACACACACATACACACACACACATATTTATATGATTTGATAGTTGGAATACAATCTTTACTATGCACTTTACGTTTTCAAATAAGAAATATATTAAAATTTATAGAAGAAAGATGAATAAGTAGAAGAAGAAGAATGGTTTCGATGAAAAAGGGACTTTATTCAATAACAAATGTGACACAGCCAGGGGAGTCCCCAGTAAAGAGGCTCTAAAACAGAAAAACGAGACCCAAAGGCTGGAGCCTCAAATTACAAGGATCGACTTGAAACCTTGGTTTGGATACGAAGAAAAATGAGAAACAGAGGATAAGAGGAAAAAGTCTCAATTTACTATTTTTGAGTTTTCCTTCCTAGTATTCTCTCTTTAAATTTATTATTTTTGACAGTTTTTCCTCCTAGCATTCTCTACTCCTTATTTTTCTCCTTTTCTCCAACCAAACCAAGCCAAAGGATTCCATTGGGCTTTCCTAGTATATTGCTAGGACATTATAGACAATGTCTCAGGGAGAAGGAACTTCCCCAACAAACCAGTCTTCAGACTACAATTTCCAGCAGTGGAGCCCAAAAGAAGGTCTGCAATCAAGTTTATCTCGATCAGGTCTGACGTTATCAGCTAACCAATCTGTGTTTGAGGTGGCACTGAAGTGTGCGTATTTGGTTTCACATTGGAGACCATAAAGACCATGGTTTTGAGAGAAGCAGATAGTTTTATACTTCCACCAAAATCATAGTTTTGGTAGTTTCCAGCGTGAGACCTGACTCGTTTTAAAAGCTGCCCCAAATTTCTCAGAAGTAGGGCTGGTTTCTTGAATATGCTGCCAATCCTGGACCAGTTTGTTGATGAAAAGTGTGGCTTTCTTGTGGGGGGAAAATGAAGGACCAACATGCACGTGTGTAGAACATGATCATGGTCTCCCACACCTCACCATGGAGCCCTCATTCTGCAAAAGATTGCTAGGCTGAAGAAATTGAAAAGACGCTATTGCTGGTATAGTAATACCCCTACCTGCACTTGGCAATGGCATCACTATCAGACCCGTCAAGGGGCTTGAGTTCCTTTATGTTCCCAAGGGAATCACGAGGCATAAGAGACTCCAATTCCGCTTTCCACCTGCAAGAACGAAATCACTTGAAAAATGGTTTAGAGTGTCACAATTAGACGAGAAGGTCATCCACATTCCTCCACATGTGCCAAATAGGAGTGTTCACAAGCCAGATGTTAAGATTACAAAGAATTGAGAACAAGACTGGACATTCATTGATGAAGATATACAGCATTACAACAGCATGATCCTTCACTTGAAGCATTTACAACCCTTCTTGGGTGATTTACTAACCCTATCTTTTGGGTGATCTAACATCAACTTTGAGGTGAAACATTGAGGTGAGTACCAAGTTAAACACCCTCTCTTAGGTAAGATTAAATCTGTTTATCTAAATGCCTAGCCCTTATCATTTTATATGGGCTTAGGCTAACCATGATTAACTATCAAGTAATCACGGATAATAACTAATATTACAACACCAGGTTTAGTGTTATACTTGGTGCTTGGATTGAGCTAAGGTCTCGGACTGATATAAAAAAGACTTATGATTTAACTGAAACATTTTCTTGCAAAATTGAAAAATTAAATATATAATTTTAGGAAGGAGTTACAAAATTATTTTTATCAAAAGGAATATGATTTTATGATAAAAATATTTTTTTAGGTTTGTAAACCAAGGTTCAGATTTTTGTTGAAAGAGGAATGTGCCTCTAAGAAAATTACCTTCAATAGGAGGACAAATATGCACAATTAAAAGATGAAATTAAGTTAGATTTAAACTAAATTAAAAGTAACTAATTTTTTAGAAAATATCAATGACAATTATAAAATTAACTTATCATACAAGTATATCAACAAAATAACACTTTAAAATTAATCACTATTCATTAAAACTTTTTCTAAAAAAAGAATATATTCCCTCCATTCAAAAATATAGGGTATCTTTTGAAGGATTAGATATTTAAAAATGTAAGATATTTTTAGTATTTTTAGGTGTAATCAGTGTTGCCTTTTTTTTTTCAAAAACTTCATTTAATAAATAAATCACTTTATATTTATTTTAAAGTGAAATACCTTATTAAATAAAGGTATATATGAAAAAATATTTTTAATTTAAAGATAAGTAATTATTTTATTAAAAGATGAAATTCAGTTAAGAAGAGAGAATGTATATACATGGTGTATTTAACTTAGCAAACACCCCTATAAAAATCGGGGAAATTGCTAAGGAGAGTCAAAATGGAAAAATTATTTGGACAAAAAGTTGAATGAGAAATTTATTCTCATCATGTAATCTTTTTTGGCAATTTCGCCTAGAAATCAAGATCCAGACTTTGAACTTTATTATCAAATCAAAGTGGAACTTTCATCAATAAATATGTTTTTATTTTGTTTTCCTCTTCTGATTATTATGGGAATCAAACTCGAAATCCTCATGAAAACACCAATGGCTATAGTAATCATGAGCATCAAATTCATCAACCGATAGGCACTTTTTAAATTATCATGAGCCTTGACCTTAACTATTCAAGTCTTCAAATTTCAAGTTACTAAAATTTTCCATGGTTAAAAATAATTACCCATGTCCTTTTAACTTTGGAATGCACATGCAAGCATTGAAATTTGATGGATGGGATGAGATTAGTGCGTATCCACCGATCCTTCTTTAGCTTTTTTATTTTTTTTGGGGGGGGAGGGGGTGGGGAGATACTGATACTTACTTTACCACTCATTACAGTCATGTGCTTTTCAATTCGTAATCTTTATACAGTTTAAAGAGAATCATCACAAAAGCAATCACATGACAGTATCTATTCATGAATTTAAGCAACTATTTGTTTTGATAATAAATGATAAAATATAGAGAATACAATCTTATTTTATGAATGAACGACTATTTCTTAGAACTAATTGTGCCACATCATTTATAGTTGATTCAATTAAAATACTTTAAATCATCTAAATAAAATTTTATATAAAATTATTTTATTTAATTTTATTTTTATAATAGGATGCATATTTAATTTATTGTATTTAAATATTTATTAATATTAATATCAAAATTAATTTATATTTAATATTATATAAATGTCATGTTTTTATTGGATAGATTATAGATGACGTGGCACACTCAATTTACCTAAAAATTTCTCATTTCTTAGTATTCACTATTCAATGTTGAATTCAAATCTTTTATATTTATTAAATAAATGTAAGATACTTTCTCCATATCGTAATATATATCATAGTTAACTAATTCATAAATTACAAACAAGATAAAACCTTAAATTATTTAAAATTTCAATATCTTTTTATTTATATCCTCATTCATTACCCTTGATAATGGTATTTAAAACTTTAATGCATGATTTTTTTTTTGTCAAAAGGATTAACAAAAAAAATAAATATAAAAGTTATCCAATATTATAGACCAATAACCATTTCAAAAGATGCTTTATATTGTAATTCAAAGAAAGTATTGTATAAAAAAAAAAAACCAATACTAAACTTGTCTTAGTGGAAAGGATAAGCTTTCAAAATTGAATTCATATGAATGTTAAAAAAAAACAACAACAACAGTAAACCTTATTGTACTAGGTGGGGTCGGCTACATAAATTATATGAATGTAAAAAAACAAATTTAAAAAAATTACCTCCAATGAATTTAATTCAGTCAAATAATCATATAAAAAAATTAATACTAAAATAAAAAATAAACTCTTAACAAAATAATATTTTTTTCTACTACTCTCATATAAATAAACTCCATGGTGAGGTTCAAGGTTCGACGTGTATAAGTTATGAATATTGAATTGATTCCTTTAAATATATATATATATATATATATGAATTTATCCACTGTTTAACATGGATCAAAAATCTACCACCCAATTTTTTTAAGAAAATAATAGTTTATTAAAATTAAATCAATACTTAATGCTTGATTTAAATGACTCAAACTGAGAAGGGATTGAAGAGAAAAACAGAAGCCCTATTACATCACGTTCAGTCACCCGGTACACAATAAAATCCAAATCCATTGGCAAAATAATGAAAATGAGTTATTAAAGTGATGTCTCAATCATGCCCACTTTATCATTATTATTATTATTTTCTCTTTTGTAAATGTCATCCAAATATCATGTGAGACTTAGATCAGATTTGGATTCCCTCTGTCATTTCTATCAAAGTCAAAACTACTATTAAAGATATCTAAACATCATTTTCTACTTTCACTCTCATCCAAGTTGACTAGAACTTGTTCTTGGCCCATCATGAAGTAAGCCCTCGCTATAAGAGCTTCACAAAAAGTCACATACGTAAGTTAAAGCCTATAAATAAAGCAAACTTCCCCAACACACTATTCTCCACAATAAATAAATTACTACATATAAAAATATTATTAAAAAAAAGAAAAAGCAGGGGGAAAAAAGGAAAAAAATATATATAAAAAGATACAATAAAACTCCATACATATTTCCCCATGTCTCTCTCATACTCAACTGCAACATTACTTGAAATTAGGACTAAAAATCATTCTAATTGCATTAACAACTTTTTTTCCTACCTTTTCTTTCAAACCAAAATGACCTTGTCTTCTTCATTAGGGAGTTACCAAAACCTTGAAAATTAGTAAAGAGTCTATGGCCGGGGATTCAGGCTGTCGACTGGCCGGTTTCGATTTGAGTTAGCCACCCAGGGGAGGAGAGGAACCGGCCTTTGAATGCTAGAGCTCGATGGGGCGGAGTTAGACGGAGCTATTGCCGGAGGAGTTCCGGCGGCCGCCACTGATGAGGCCGAGGATGTTGATGAGACCGCGACACGCTCGCACGAAGGGCACATTGTGAGAGTAGTGGGAGGGTTCATGTGCATGTAGAATTGTGGGGATAGTTTTAGAGCCCTAAGCTCTTGCACTTCCTTTTGCAGCCTCCTATTCTCTTCAGTTAGAGTCTCACAACATCTCCTCAAGTACTCACAGTCCACTTCAGTTTGCTTCAACTTGGTCCTACAATTATTCAAACCACATACAAAGCATTAATTTCTCCATCTTACATAGAACTACAATACCAACCAACCAACAACAACAACAACAACAAACATAACATTGAAAAGATGCTTTTTTTTCCCTAACTCATTTTTCAAATATTAACTATAAGATAATCAAGGCCAAGGAATCAATTATGATCATCAACAATATTTGACACGTTATTATTAGTTAATTGATTGATTTCTCTAGGCAGCACTCATTGTGCTCTGCTTTCTCATGAAATTTATTGTCATAAACTCCACTTTCATGTGTGATAATTGTGCCATTGACCCCTATTTTAAGGATAAAAACCATAATTAATTCTACCAAAAAATAATAAATAATTTTGGAGTTATGCTTTGGTTTCCTTCATTGCTTTCGACAGTTTGAAGAATGGCATTACCAATATTCATGAATGACTTTAATTAGTGTTAATTATAGAAGATATGTTACATGAAAGCAAGACAATTCAAACCCAAACTTAAGCTATTTTCAATTTAATAATAATAATTTAACGATTCAATTCAAGTTCCTAGATGTTAAATTGTCAGTATTGCCCCTGAGAAGTAACAGTTATGACCTCACCTTGCCCTCCTGTTCTGAAACCACACTTCCACTTGCCTCGGCCTCAGATTCAGCTGTTTTGCCAATTCCTGTTTTTGCTTCTGAAAGTAAGAAACAAACAAACAAAAAAAGTTGTTAAAATTACCAATTGGCCGCCGTCCTGAAATCCCAACTACACCCCTAAACTATCAGCGGATTTACGGAAATGCCACTGATAGAAGCTTACTGGATTGAGGGTATTGTGCTCCTTGAACGTTTCTTCCAGCACAATCGATTGTTCCTTCGACAGCCGGAGCTTCTTCCTCGATGTGTCTCCGTCGCCGTCGCCGTCTACGTCCCTGCCGCCGGCGCCGCCGTCATCATCGTCGCTCCCACGAGAACATGAAGCACGCTCGGCTTCGTGCTCACCGCCAATCGACTCTCTCTCGCTCCGTTTTCCGCTGATGCTCGACACAGTACTGTTCGGCGAGGAGACGCCATTCTCGTCGTCGCAGTCCACCACCACTGTTGATGGCGGCGCCAAATTTATATCCACACCCCGGGGCAACGTTCTCGCCTCGCAGCTCCGATCTGCCACGTGTCACACATCTGAGGTAAGGACTCCACCGAGCACAACACACACGTCTCACCAAGCCAATGGCATTAAAGTAATTAAAAAACGACAGTGACGATCGTATTTTTGTAAAACAAAATCAAAAGCTTTCGCCTTTGTGATTGTGATGAACTTTTCAACATTTTGTTTTTTTCAGGGCAAGAGATTAACAAAATAACAAAACAAGCGAGATCTGAAATCAAAATAAACTGCAATAAATCCTGGGTTTTTCATTGCATGATTTGCAGGTACCAATCCAAAAGCTTCAAAGAAAACGATGAAAGAAGACGAAGAAGAAGAATCTTACCAGGAAGCTGGAAGAAAATATCATTCCAGGAAGTTCTTTGATTCGGAAGATTCCGAGAAGGTTTCTGCATAAGAGATTCCTTCAAAGAAGGAGACTGATTCATTCCAAGTCCCAAGCTCAGACTCAAACCCAAACCCGACCCATCATCTTTCTCCCCCATTTTCTGAGAAAGAGCGAGAGAAAAAAAAGAGTCACTTTCCAGGAAACCAACCAGAGTGCCAAGAATCCTGAAAAAAATTTCTGGGGCGAAAGCAAAACAGAGAAAACGGAAGAGAAGATAAGAAAGAGGGGCAGTGGAGAGGTGTCACAGCCTTTCTTTTGCTTTTTGCAGCACAGTAAAAGGATGGAGGACAGGCACAACAATGTGTGTGTGTATATATACACACACAAACGGATACAGAGACAGAGAGAGAATGAGAATGAGAGATGGAAAGAGAGAGAGATAATGATGACTTGTGTCAGAATTGGGAAATTGGCTCAATGATGACATAAATGGCTATTCCTAGGCTTTAAGCCTACCACTGTGTGGTTCCGAGGTTTATTTTAACCATGGTTTGGTTCATTATTTACCCTCTGGCCACTGTTACTGCCTATCGGCTTGTGAATTCGTTGGGTAGTGACTAGCGCATGAGCGGCCGGACAACAAAGATGTGAATTTAATGAAGCAATTAAAGCAAAAGGAAAATATTTAAAGTAAAAGGGATAGTGATAATTTATAAAAATGGGTAGAAATTTTTTTTAGAATTTTAATCAATATTTTTATAAATTTCAATGTGAAAATAATACCAAATTGATGAGACTACCAAACATGAATGTAGGAGCACTGACAATCCATTTTTGCTTGAGCTCAGTATTTTAATTTTTTCTCTAAATCATTATTAAAAAATTTAGAGATATATATTTTCCATTTATATTTAGTATGTAACTCATTCATTAATTTATAAACATTTTAAAAATCTTAAATACGAAGAATTGTAAGCTGAAAATAAATTTTTACATTTTTTATGGGAAATATAATTTTAGGACCCTTAATTTTTTCACAATTGTCAATTTAATTCTTGAAGTTTGATTTAATCTTTATAGATTATTGACAAAAATCGGAAGAATTTAATCTTTATAATTTTTTAACTTAATAATAATCAATCCTTATACTTTTTTAAATTAAATAAGTTACCAGAATCAAGTTGTGGTTGTACTTAGTAAAGTTCAAGAATTAAAGTAATAAAACTAAAATATATATTTAATTCTTTAATTTTATATTTTATTTTATTTTAGTCCTTTAACTTTATAAAAAAATTAGTCATTTAACCCTAACACTATTAATTTTATCTTAACAAATTTTTATATTGAACTTTCAAATACTAACAAAATATTTTTTAAATATTAACATATTAAATTTATTTTTTTTAAAATAATAATGATTGATATAAAAAATAATCATTTGAAATTAATGATGTTAAAGTTAAAGGACTAAAAAAATATTTTATAAAATTAAAGTATCAAATTAAAACTTTAGATAAAGTTAGAGAACTAAAAATATACTTTAACCAATTAATAATTAAAAAATAAAAATTAAATGTGATATTATTTCTTTTCTGTTATTACAATTTTTAAGGAGAAATAAGCATAACAATATAAAATTATATGAGAAAAAAAATAATCTTTTAATCCTTCAACTTTTAACTTACTTATAATTCAATCTCAAGTATGACTTATCGAGACTGAGTTCCACAACTGTAACTCACTGTAATTCAATTTTTTAACTTTTAACTCACTTATAACTTGATCTCTATTTTTTTAATTTTTTTAAAAATTATTTTTATTAAATAAGAAAGATAAAAGAAATACTCATATCTTATTATAAAATATCATTCTCTTACTCTTTGATATGGAATCTAAGTTAGTATAAAAAAAAAAGAAAACTAACAAAAGTTGAGAAATTAAATTATAGAAAAGTTAAAAATTAAAAAATTGAGTTATAATGAATCACATTTAAAGAATTAAGTTATAAATGAATTGAAAATTAGAGGATTAAAAAATTAATTTTTTTATATAAAATTGAACTAAAATTTGTATAGAGGTAAGGATCTTATGTAGTAATTTTTTTTTTTCACTGCTCTAAGTAAGAACATTTTTTAATAAAAATTTTGATAATATTTTTCCTTTTTCAGCCCTCATATTTATTTATTTTTTTACTGACACAGTCAATTTAAAACAAGAAAGTAAAGGGGAAGCACGGTTAAATGTTAGCCTGATTGGTTTTCATGGTGTTCGGTTGAGAAAAATCGGCTTTTTCAATCGTTGACTGTTGACTAATAGTTCACGCGCCTAGAGGTGACGCGCCTGATCATCGCCTCATGATGATGAGAGAGACTCACGTGCTATCATTCAAAGTGGACCCCATACTTTTGATTCGAGTTTAAGAGACCTAGGGATATGTCTCGTGAATCGTGAGATCAAACTTTTATATAACCACATTTGTTCATTTTTCTTTACTGGTTGTTAGGAGCCAAAAAAAAAAAAGAAAAAAAAAATGGATCCCTTATTCAGATATATAGATATATATATATATATATAATTATAAGATAAAAATAATAATTTTAATTTTATTTATAGTACATTTCATTATTTGTTATGCTTATTTTTAATTTTTTACTTTTATTAATATTAAAAAATTATTAATAGATATAAGATAAAAAATAAGATTAATTTTATTATTATTAATAGATATAGATAAAAAATTATTAAATTATAAAGTAGACTTAACGAGGTTTGTGTGTGCTTGGCTTGTATGACAAAAGGGGAAAGAAGAAAATTGGAGAAGAAAACATAAAGAAAAGTAAAAAGTAAAGCAATTTTCTCTAATTATACATAATTGAGTAAGAGAAAATAAAAAAATTATTAATTGTATATGAACAATAATAAAATTATTATTTATATAATAATATTAAATATTTTAACATATTATATATAATAATTTTTATCATATATTATTGATTGAACAAAAACTAATTAAAAATTATTTTATCTAATACTGACAAATATGAGGTATTTAATTAAAAAATTAACTTGAAAATTTAGAATTAGCAAATTTAGTATTTGTTTGATTAATCTAAAAATTAAATATGCGGCTTGTTCAACAAAGTTTCATAATCAAAATGTAACTACATGACAAATATCATGATAAAAATGGAGGGAAGCAAGAGACAAGCAATAAAATTAGTTGATAAATTTGAAAATAAAATTTTCTCTTTAAAATCTTCCTATATTTTAGGCACTGTTTAAAAAATCAAATCGAACCGGATCCTTTAACAGCTAGGTTTGGACAAAAAAATTATTTTGATAATTGAACCAAATTGAATCAGAATTGAGTCGCTATTAAATTGAAAACTAAAATTAAACTGAGAACAAGAGTAGTTTTTAGAAAGCATGATGGTTTTAAACATAATTTTTAAAAAATCCTAAAAATTTTAAAAAAAAATCAAAAATTAGATCCCTGCTAAAAGCTAGCATTATTTTTGGATAATTTACATGTATAAAATATAATTTAAAATCATTTTTTGTAAAGATATTAATAATTATAGGTGCAAATATAAATACTTTTAAATCTACTTATATATAATTTAATCAAAATCTATCTATATTTGACAACTTATAAAATTATAATTCATATTATTGTTAATTTATGATGATATTATGTTATTTTATTAACATATTATAGATTTGTTTCTTATATTTATTTTATATATTTAATATTATTTTTATTTAATTATTATATCATCGATCCAATCACTAGTCTAATCAATTATATCATAAAAATTGAGAATTGTTGAATTTTTTAGTTCAACATTCGATCTAACTTTTAAAATATTGATTTCAAGAGCAAAGTTTGAAGTAAAAACATGTGGGTCTGTTGAGATTGAAAGTTTATTATATTTTTAACTAAAATTAATGACTTGATTATTTCTCCCTAATTTTGTTGAAATAGTTAGATGCCTTGTAATAGGAATCAGATGAAGTCTATTTTTAAAAATAAATGATTTTATGAAAAAATATAAATATGCACCTCTAGTCCTAGTTATAAATTATTTCAAACATGTTTAACTAGAATAAAAAAACATTAAAACTTAGTAATTTTATCTAAAAATTTAATAATTCTCAATTTTAATCCTATTAAAAATACATGCTTTTAAAGCCAGGAAAATAAATCAAATCACAACTTCACATATTAAATTCTTTATTTTTTGTTGTATGATTGTGAATATAAGAAGGAAAGTTTTGAATATTTAAACAAAATTTGTAAATCATTTATTTTCAATAAGAATAATTTAATAATTTATATAAATTTATTAATTAAAAAAAGCCTCTAGGGATTTCAGGGGAGTTATGAATTTTGAGAGACCAACTTATTATTTATATATTTTAAAAGAATTTTATTGTCATTTTTTCTTTTATTTTCATATGTTTATTTTAAAAAATTCAAAAAAGTTAATAGGGCCCAAAGTCCTCAAAACTGGCCTGAGCTTAAGGGCTAGACTTTGCAAATGATAAAATTTTTAGGTAATCAAATTTTTTAAGCTTTACCCATTTTTTGCCTCAATATATTTTAATAATATATTTTCTCTCGTCTACATTTAATGTAGGGTAAAATGAAAATTCATGACAAAAATTTAATAACCTAACTTATAAGTAAGACTAAGAAAATCTTATCTATCTTATAAATATAACAAAAGCAGTGTATACATATCTATCAAAAAATATAAGACATTTTTAATCAATCCTTAATAACTTAGCTAATTATTTTAAAATTAATATTACGTTTTCATACCTGCCTTTATGTAATATGGATCTCACTTCAAGATGATGGGTCGGGTAATTTATTTATTAAGAATTATTTCAAAAAAGTATTAATTTCACATTAAAAAATTAGAAATACTTTATATTTTTTTAACATATTATATAAAAAAATGTTATATATTTTTAACAAGGAGTATATGATTTGATAAAAATGATTTGTGATGGATTGAATTATGATTTGATACATAACGGTTGAAGAAATTATATCCAAATCCATAAAGCATAATTAAATATCACAGAGTTTATGAACAACAAAATATAACACATTGACAGTCAAACATAACACATCTTGTTATTGTCATTTATCAATAAATTTTATGATATTTAATTGTATTATGAAAGTATAATTAATAATAAAATAATTATTTGAATATTTAGATAATTATTTATTATGAGTAAAAAAAATAAGTCAATCTAATTATTAATAAAATGAATTAACATAAGTAAGTTTAGTTATTAAGTAAGCATGACAAAAAAAAATTCTTTATGAGTATACAAATATACATCCCATTTTTTCAATATAAGTTGCTTGTTGTTTATTGTCCTTTCATTCAATATTATAAAGCATTGTTTTCTAAAATATCATATTAAAAATATACGGTTAAGGGTCATTTTGTCC